TATTTGTGGGTTCAGGAGAATGGGATCACATCTGACTATTAGGATCCTGACTTCACTAGATTTTACTGAATGGTAGAAAATTCATTTCAAGCAAGTAGCAAAGAACCAAAGATGTGATGAGCCTTTGTACACACAAAAAAGATGCACCAAAAGAGACGTCTGTAATTTAATCATTCATTCTTACTGCAATGCAATTCAGGCTGTCAAAAAATCCTTGCACATGCCCCAGATTCCTTTCCTGTTCAGGATATAGCTCCAGAGAGCTCAAACACATGAGCAGCACTATCAACCCTGACTACATTCACCCCTCTCTCAAGCATTTAAATTTAGAATGAACTTCCCAACCTTGGCTACAACTTTAAGCTCATGTAAGTCTCAGCTACACCACAAACTAATGAGAAATCTCATTAGGTCAGTGTTTAAAGTCCAGAGTCAGTGACAACGTTCACCCTTTATATCCACAGAGCACAAAGTTTCATTCTCAGGGAATAATTTTGCCAGTAGACCTGCTTCCTCCACCCTGTCATCACCTGGATATTCCTCCTCCTTTCCATTCAGCAGGGAAAACTTGGTGAATGGCAACGCTGAAAGAAAATTTAAGAATCAATTCACAGGTTCAATAGCTTTGAGTCTCGCCTTTGCCATGAGTATATTTCTTCTGCACACCCTAAGCCTGCATTTCAGAGGCATCTTTCAAAGATGTCAAGGTTCTTTCTAATATTATCTTCTCTTAAAACTCCACATGGCAGAATTCATCAGCACAGAGGAGACAAGCAAGGGAAAAAGTTAAGCAACAAAGAAGCAACAATTAATTTGATCCCATAAGGAAGAGATGTAAGAAATCACAAAATAAGAAAAATGTGCAAAAGATATTTAGGAGTAGAAAGATTTGAGGGTAGCAGTTGAGAGAACCAAAGCTGCAGAAGGAGTTTAAAGGAAAACATATAACTAAATCTGAAAAACTGAAACCAGCAACTAAATATCACCATGTTAATCTCATTCCGTTCATTCTTTTCCACAGACAACTCTTTGCATGGTTTAATCTCTGGTAACCAAAAAAAAAAAATTGTAAAAATAAAAATTAAAGAATTTGCTCTTGTGGGCATGCAGCTATTAAGGGAAACACCCAGTGTGACCATTCGTGGGACTCTCAGGCACACCCTACACTGTCACTGCCAGAACCCAGCAGCAGCTCCAGGTCCCCTCTGGACTGCCCACACCCCACTCACAACCAGCCCAGCTTTCCTCTCTGCTTCCAGCCCAGCTTTCCTCTCTGCTTCCAGCCCAGCTTTAGTCACTGCTTCCAGCCCAGCTTTCCTCTCTGCTTCCAGCCCAGCTTTCCCTCTGCAGAGTCTCAGATCTCTCTTTCCATAAAGCCATTTATTCCCAGCACAGTAAGCCACAGCCTGAGCCTGTGCCTCTGAGGAGGGACTCCACAAAGGCTTTTATCCCTGGGCTTTTATCCCTTCACAGCCTGAGCACAGGGAAGCTTTGTCTCTTTGCTGAGCCCTGGGCTCCTGCCCTGACTCTGGGTGTCCCTCACCAGCTGTGCCACAGCTCACATCCCCTGTCATGCAAAGGGTCACAGGTCACATCCTCCTGTCACTCTGTGCTTCCATCTGAGTTCAATCTGCAGCTTGCAAACCAAGCTACCTGCAGCAGGTGTGTCCCCCAACACAAGCAGAATTCACTGTGGTTACTGGGGTTTAAACAGGAGGCAAAGGCCCTGTGCCCTGGCCATGAATTTTGGGAACCAGAACGTAAAGGCAATCCAAAAGTCTGGGCAAATGTATGTGGGAGAGGCACTCAAGGCAGCTGTGCTTTAGTCTGGCTGGCCAGCTTAACTCCCTGAAAACAAAGGCTGCAGAAAACTAGAAACTCCTTCAAAACTGACTGACTTCCTTGTCAGCAATGGGAAAGTAAAGGAGGGAATGGCACCATCCAAAATGACTCACTTTGCACAGGTCTCAGAATACCATGGTAATGCTATTTGTCACCAACAGCATGAATTTGTTCTGAACAAGTACTGGCCAGACAATTGCCTATGAACGAGAACAGAAAATGTTTTTCTTCTAAACAAAAACCCAATTAAATGGAAAACCCCACCAAAAAAACCCAAACTGGTCTTTTGCCTGTCAAGTGCACGTAGAATAATCACATTGCCCACTGGTTCACACTTTTATCCACCTTGTTTTGCTAGACACGAAAGGGTTAAATTAATATTTTGGAGCATTAAGGTTGAAACTGTTTAAAATTATCCATACACATTTTAAATCTGATCTCTTTTAAAAAGATCAGCCACTCTGAGCCTGAGGATTTTCATCCCCATTTCAAGTGAAAATGCAGAAGCAGGAACGCTCCATTCAGCCACACCAATCCTGCCTTGGAAGATTCCTACCTGAGACAGTGGCTGAGGGATGACACAAATAACTTTGTCATGATGACAAGCAGGAAACTGCCAAAAATTACCTCAGCTTAGGACATAAATTTAGATGCAGGTACCTTACCAGCACAAAGCTCTGAAACAGTGAATGATGGTTTGTCAAAGGTTGGTGTTTATCTATGAAAGTGTTGATAAATCAGGGCAGATTTAGGATACCCTGCTGAGAATCAAGGAATAAAAATCCAGTATTATGGCTTATGAGTAGTAAGCAAATTTAATGGCAATTAAATGGTCTGGTCATTGCCCTGCAGATGGAGAGGAGAGCCTTGCACAAGCCCTGGGAAGCAGCCAGCCCAGGAAGAGGAAATCTTCTTGCACAAACAGTTCTGACATATTTATTTTCCTGCAAGAGTTCAGCAGTCCATTAATAAGACTGTTAGTGAAGGCATTAAATGACACACTTTGTATTTTCATTTGCTGCTTGAGTCTGACTCCAACAGATCTCTGTTATTTTACAACAGAGATTTTGTCTATTACTGTCTCGGGGAAAAAAATCTAAAAATGCCCATTTTACCCTGTTTGACAGTTCTATAAGCAAATTTAATTTCTGCTTGAGGAGCTTAAAAATAATTTCACTTAAATAAGCAAAGACAGTAGTCTATGAAATTAAGCCTTTGTTTTATGTAGATGTCAAATAATTATATTAGGAATGCAAAAAAAAAAAAAAACATCAGTAGGAACACAAACGCTTAGAACAAGATTGGCATTATTATTTTCATAGCCAGTCCGATAAGAGGCAATTTTACAATAGCAGTAGATGCTGAGGCTCCCATGAAGTCTAATGACAAGGCTGATTTCTTACAAAATTCTTGAGTATAATTATGCTTCAGAAAACTGAAAATGCAACAGGCAGACTTCATGCTTGTGTGACTTAGTAAAGTGCACTTCTGGCAACTTGGCTCTGACACACACATGTAAAGGAGATAGAAAAATGAACTGGAGGAGTGTCTTGAAAAATTATTCCTTTTATCTTGGTCCTTTTTCACTTTTGGAGGAAACAAACTGTAAGTAGTAAATCTTACTATTCCAACATCTAAGAGCTTTGGATCATAAACTAATACTTCTACTTTCCATGCTGTTGGTAAATTCTCATCATTTGAGAAAATCAGTATGGACATTTTATATATTTTTCCTTTAAAAACATTAAAATTATTAACTGGTTAGATATTAAGCTGAAAAAGTATACCTGATGAAACCACACCTTCCTTTCTTTCCTCATGTGCTTCCCTGTGGCTTGGCTTCCCTGCAAGCAGAAAGTATTTCTGCTCATTTATTATCTTTTGGCTGCAAGATGGCACAGGGCACTGCTGGCACTACTGGAATGAAATCCCCAAATTACTGAAGTGGGTCAGAGGAGCACAAAATACAAGAATTGTGAGTTGGGAGCTCAGTTCACACCCAGACCCACATTTCCCCACTCACATGTGTCAGGGATTCCTAACATGTTTGGTTTTGAAAACAAGTATCACAGGAAAGATATTAGACAACAAAAATGGGCCAAATAAGTAACTTTTATCCCCCAATTTACTGTGTTCATAGTTATAGTACTATGAGCTTCAAAGGGTCTGTGCCATAATGCTGCATCCTCCAGAGCAGAGATGTGGGGGAAAAGCAAACATCAGGCAGTTCTCTCGTGCAGGAGTGAGCAGCACTGATCACCAGGCTCTGGAGACAGATATTCCTGCACTGCTGGCCCAAGTGTGTGCACAAACGTGGTTCTGCTGAACACTGAGTGCAGAGCCAAGGCAGCAGCAGAGAGGGGTCCAGGCTTTGTGTTCCAGCTCAGGACACTGCACGGGGTGGCAGCCCCACCTTCCCCACCTGCTCCTTTGCCTCAATATGCTCGTGTCAAATGCATTGTCTAAAATACAGCGCTAATATGAATAATAAATTACACTGTCGTGTGTGATCCTGTCAGCAGCTCCAAATTAATTAAGAATTCTCCTTGATTAAAATCTCTGACCCGTATTGCCAGGCAGGGCATCTCTCCTGACTCAGATGTGCAGAGCAGCCACCAGGGCTCTGTGGACCTGAACAATGCAGGTTCTTGTTGAGAGCTGGGTGTGAGTAAACTCATCCATATGTATCCAACAGCACTACTTTCATGCAACATTACCCCTGTGCTTAATCATTTATGGCTCTGAAACATAATAGTGCTCAGAATTAAGAATGTCTGGGTTGAGCCTTCAATTTACTTCTACAATAGCAAAGCTTTCATTCTTTCTGTCTTAATAGAGCTAATTATAAGGCTTTGGTTTGGGCTTTTTAAACCTTTCTTAATGTTTACCCTGCATACCCTATACATATGTACTCATCTATCCCTTCAGAATCTCTATCACCATAGTCACTGGAAATAAAAAAAATGTAGTTGTGAAAACGGAAAGAAATGGAGCTTGCACAAAAATTAAGCTTTCTTTCCAAAATTTTCTAACTTGAGCATCCAATGCATTTAACATATATTATTTAAATTTTGCTGAATTATGTAAAGTGTCCACTGCACAGCCTGTTAAAATCAACTATAAAGCCAACAGAACAGTCAGAGTACACAAACACTTACTGGTTTCAGTGGCTACAATAGTGATGTTGTGCCATGTGCTGGTTTCTCTGTCCAGGGGTGTTGCCAGAGTTATTTTCCCATCCTCTGCATTGATGTTGAACTGTCTCTCAAGGTCAGTGTGGCGATCAATGGAAAACCTGCAAAACAGACATCCCTGTAATCTACTTAATGAAGTTGGTGTAATCCATACAGTCACAGTGACAATTTAGGGAGCCCTCTGAGAGCTGCAGTTTTATAGCCAAATGGATTGAGAAGCTCAATAGCATAATAATTTAGAAGACAAAATGACAAACTGAGGCTAAAAAAACTTAATAATTATTGCCCAAGGAGTAATTAGCTGTATACCCAGTGTGAAGGTCGTAAAGTGCCCTCAGGTTCACTGGGTAGCATCTCTGAAAAACTGTGCTGATCAAGAGTTAATTACACAATCCATCACATTTATTGGACAGTTTCTATGGTATTTCACAGTAACTGATGATAATTTCAACAGTAATGTATTAAGCCACAAAAGAGGTGGGCTTTGTGGTTATTTTAAAAAAGGGCTGAATAATATTATTTTACCAATAAATTTCAGATTAACGAAGCATGAACGATTCACCAAGCACATTATTTGCTTATGGTTCGAGCAGTTCCATGGGCAGAGCACAGTGAATCACCATTTTTTCCTATAAAACACTGCAAATGCTGGAGGCTTGATTCTTTTATGGGTTGACATCACTGATTTTTAACCAAACAAGTTCCATCTGACAGGTAGTCAGAGTTTGCAAATGTGAATGTCCAGGTAAATTTTGCAGCCCAAGCAGGAGCAGCCTGACAAGGAGCCAGTGGATTGCTCCAATGGTGCATTAAGCAGGATGATGATTTAAAGCTCAGGTCCAGATCTCCAGAAAGCTTTTATGTTTGTCCATTTGCACAAGAGTTATTTTATTAATGAATTATTCTCTAAAAGAAAACGAATCACAAAATTGAGCCTTCAGTTTCTTGACAGGAAAGGTAGGGAAAGAGGGAGTTGAGTGATAAACTATTGATATGGTTTAACAGAAATTGACTTCAAGGGGTTTTACTGAATCCTAATTGTGGATTTATATAAAAGCCTTTTAAGCCTTTGTGGCTGTGTATTACAGAAGCTACCAGCATGCACTGACAGTTTTTACATCTGCTCTGCATTACAGCAAGGCACAATAGGGTGAGTTAGGATATGGTATCAGACTCAATTACCTTCTGGAGTGGCCAGAAAAGTGACTCCAGACTGCCACTTTCTCATCACTTTTCTACCTTTTGCAAGCACATTGTTAAAATTCCCCAATAAAAGTAAAATAACATATTTTACTACAGTGAGAATGGCATAGTTATCTGAAAATCAGCTATTCCATTCTGGTTTGTGCTTTATCAGAAGCAATTTCCAAAATACATTCTGATTTGGAGGTCCCTTTATACACTACAATAAGTATATTCCAATGAACTCAAGCTCATTCCAGCCTAACACAATCAATTTTAATAGACACGGCATTAGCATCTGATTTCAAAGCTTAGGATTATTGTGTTCATCTTTTTTTATTATTTTATTATTTCAGTATCAGATATTTTCATATTTAGAATGAAAGTTGCATTGCAATTAGATTATTTGTGCAGTGCATTCTGTAAGATACAGCTCACTTTCAAAAAGAGCTCTAAACGATGAAAACTTATCAAAATCTCAAAGTTTAAGCATTTAAATTCTGCATTGCCAGAAATCAAGGCCCACCTGATCACACTGGTAAGGTATTTAACCAGCAGTGGATTTAAGAGGGAAAACCCCAGATTAAGTATGAAACAGGATTTGTTAGATATTTACTTCTTTCGTTTGAAACTCTGGGAAGAACTAGTTTTACTCATAGAAAAATTACTAATTTGGTAAGAAGAATACCAGAAAATTATAAAGTCAAATTCCAAATATCTGTGCCTAAAGCTGGGCACATGCATCTATATTTGGACATTTAAGTAAACTGATTTTCTCGTGAGCTCCACATACTCAGTTCTCAATGGTTTAATGGGAACTCCACTAAACTCAGCATTTCTGAAAATCAGGTCACTTGTGTGGAAGAATAAAGCTGTAGGTACTTAACTTCAGGCAATCATTTTTGAAAATGGATCTTAACCGTATTTTGATGTCTTCCTAGTGCAAATTAAAGTATCAGAAGTAAAATTCTGGTACTAGTGAAGTTAGTAAAAAATACCTTACAGCCTTTCACAGGTTTAAAATTTCACACAAGAAAATACAAGAAAAGACAGCAATCAGCCCTTTTTAAGAAGTCATCACCTAAAACTGTCTTTTCATTCTTGAGTTTTATGTAATGAAGCCAAAAGAACTCTTCTGATATCAAACATATATGAAGTTTTCCCAGCCCACAGACAAAATAAAATGTGAAATGCTCATATGCTATTCAGTGTTTAGTTGACCTGGGCTTGACATCAATTCCACTGAGGGAAGACACAGTTTTTCTCTAAGGATCAATCCTTCCTTAAACTTCCACTCATGGCCTTCCAGCCATGCAGGTTTTGAAGTTATAAAGGAGGGAGTGACACGTTTGTGGGTTTATTATATCACATTTCATCTCATCCCAGCAGTATTTACTCACAAACCAAACCCAGCAATTCAAGAGGAAACATTTTTAACGTGTTGCGTGTCTTTGCAAGACAACAAAGAGGTAAAACCCTCCCGTGATTTTAATGTGATAAATATTTGTTACAAAACCAAAAAATAAAATCTGCAGTATCATAAACCCGGGAAAACTAACAGTACATTTGCAGTTTCCTTTTCATGCTAATGGCGTTGTAACTCTTTTTAATGGGAATGCATTGTCAGATCGATAAAACATACATAAAACATATATTTCTCTAAAAATGAGAAGAGAATATCTTGGGAAATAATATCTTTTGAAATTGCCATAAAGCCAGCACAGGTTATTGGGAAGTTTGGGTTAGTTTATGAGTCTGCTATGGCAATTATAGGAACAACCCCACAGTGGTTTAACAGAAGCCTGGAAATGATTCTCAGTCCTGCTCTTGCACTCTTGCTGTCATGACTTTATTTGATCTACTCTTTATTTGCACCAATGTAAATAGGAGCAGAAACCCTTTTTGTGCTGCTCCTGCTGAGATTTGAACCCCAGCACTGACACTCAGGAGTGGTAAATCTCCATTTTCACTAATGCCAGGCAGATTGGACAGGGTACTTAGTGACAGATAAACAACTGCACCATTGGGGAGGCACAAAATATTGGATCTGGGTTTTTAAAGCCTGCTGTGAATTAAGAAAATGATCAACTGCTGCCAAAGATGAAATCTCTGCCAAAAGGAATGGGGAAAACCTGCTCCAGTGAATCTTATCTCTCCACAGAGAAAGGCACTGAAGGGCAGTGATTTACAGGAGGGCAGTTGCAGTATAGGAAGAACCATTATTCCTCGTGCTTTTTGCTATGTGCCTGGATCATGCTTTATCCCAGATAATTCAGTGCAGATGAAGAGAGCGTGGTTATAAAGCAGCCCCAGGAGCATGGAGTGAGCCCTGCTGGAGCCCACAGCTGTGCTGTGCCAACAGGGGATCATTTTCCCATGACAGAGCTGCCCCCAGGATGTGCCACCCTGCCCACACCAGCCACAGCAAAGCCTCACAGCTGAGCTGCACTCTCTGGGTCCCTTTCCCAAAGGAGAGCATGCATCCAGATGTGCCCCTGAACACAGCAAACCTCAGACCATTTTTACAATTATTACCCAACTCTGTAAAGCCTTTTCACCATCAGGTGGCCCTTAAGCAGCATGCAGTGCACAATGGCAACTAAGGATCAAAAAGAATTTGTGCTGCTCATTTTAAAGCTGATGGATTAGAAGAAATATCATAGAACCACAGAATATCCTGACCCACAAGGAACATCGAATTCCAACTCCTGGCTCTGCACAGGACAGCCCCAAAAATCCATCTGTACACCTGCTTGTAAACCTGTGAGAGGAGCTGTGCCTTTAGATCAAGTGAGAGAAAGTTCAGGCAACACTTCATCTTTTCTGAGCAAGCATTAAATTCTAACTACTGAACTGGTTAGAAATGAGGATGAACTTTTTTTTTTTCCTTAAAAAAAAGAAAAAAGAAAATCACAGAATAGTCTGGATTGGAAAGGACCCTAAAGATGCCATTCCAACCTCTGCCTTAGGCAGGGACATCTTCCACTAAGACCACAAGCTTCTTTCCAGGCTGCATTTTATAATATTTTTTTCTAAATTCTTTAACATTTTATCCTTTGATACAATTATCAGACTCTTCCCTTGTTCAGAGATACCCAAGTTTTATTTCATTTGTGGCACTGCAATGCTCTGAATGTGTGGAGCCTTTGTGTATCAGACTAATGCAAAGCAGACGTGGTATTGGGAGCACGGAAGGTGATTCATATTTTGTTTGTGCTGCCTGGGCTTTTATAACAAATGTACACAGCAGCTCTGCCTAAGCAAAATATTGATAGAACAGATATCTATTGAAAAAATGTAATTTCCTTGAAATACAATTCATTGTTGCCTGCTAAAATTCTGTTTTGAAGGAAAAAAAAAAGCATTTTAAAAAGGCCAGGAAACACGAACATTAAAACAGTCCATCAGTTTTAGAACAGTTTGTTGTAATTTTTCAGATTTTTAACTAAAGTTTAATATTTTTGAAACGGTATCACAGAAACAATGAATAAAATCTGCATCATATACATGATACAATAACAGAGGAAACAGCTGAAATATACATTGCAATCAATAAAACCAGTGCTTGAATATATTTCTGTTAGAACTTGTCACTTTCCTATTTTGTTCCAAACTGGAAAGAAAGGAATTGTATTTCTGCTCCCTACTTGTCTCCAACTAGTATCTTCCTCTTTTAATAGTAGAATTACTAACTTGAATTTTTCTGTCCTTAAAATATTTTTAATTGAAAAAAAAATTAAAAAAAAAAAATTGAGCTTTCTAGAGCTCTCCTAGCTAAATATAGCTTATTCAGGTAAGCAAACAAGACCAAAAAAACTGCATAGAACATTGAACTCTGTATATTCCTTAATTAGCTCTTAAGCCAATATTTTAGAAAATATTAAATCTTATAAAATACTGTATCTATTATTTAAAGAAAATATATAAATCGTACTAATAAATTGCCTTTTTGTTAAAATGTAATGAATTTTGGCCAGTTCTGTTTCATGTATGCTGAGTGGTTTTATATGACCTGCTAAGCAATAATATTCTAATTCAGTTTACAAACATAAAGTATTTTTGTTTCTAAAAGTTTGAAGGTCTCTTGATTTATAAAATGACGAAAAAGTGGAAAATTGGTAAATCTTTCACTCAGATCCATTTTTTGGGGCTTGGACAGAATAAAGAGGCTAAGTTTTAGAACAGGGGTAGGTTCGTGAATGGTCTAAATTATTAAGAGTTTGAGGCAGGTGAGAAAAGAATTCCAGGGCAGCAGAACAAGAGTGGGAAAAGAGCCAAGGTAAAAAAGCAGGAGTGAAGGCAGGCGGGGATGAGGAAATGAGGGGATGGGGAAAGGCAAGAGCAAAGCAGAGCAAGGCAGAGGGAAGGAGCTGAGGTTCAATTGAGAGAGAAATTGCTATGGAGCTGGAATGCAGGGAACAGAGCAGGAACTTGCTCTCACCATGGCTGGTCTCACACACCTTTCAGAGAATCCTTTTTGTACCAGCAGTGCCTTTTTCACAGACACCAGTGGGCAGCAGCAAAATAATCAGGGATGGAGCCACTCCATCAATTCCATCAACATCGACCCCTGCCATTCTATGGCAGTTTTGTTTAGAAATCTACGGTGTGTTTATCTACTTTTGGAAGTCTGATTTAGAGATGAGAATCACAGGATCAGAGGATATGCTGAGTGGGAAGGGACCCATCAGGATCACTGACCCAGCCCCTGTCCCTGCAGCCCCCCAGCAATCCCCCTGTGCATCCCTGGTGTCTGAATGCTCCTGGAGCTGTGGACCATTCCTGGGGAGCCTGGGCAGTGCCAGCACCCTCTGGGGGAGCAGAACCTTGCCCTAAAACCCAACCTAACCCTGCTCTGGCCCAGCTCCAGCTGTTCCCTGGGTGCTGTCCCTGGTCACACAGAGCAGAGATCAGAGCTGCCCCTCAGCAGGAAGTTGCATAAAACTCAAACATACTCTCCAACATCTTCACACACAAGTTCTAAAGCATCCAAACATGCTGGCAATTCTGAATTTCTAACTCTGAAGATACTATATTATGATATGCGTCATGTAGGGCCTCTACATAAAGGTTTAAAGTCCAGCTCTGCAACAAACCTGATGGAAGTGACAATGATTAGAAAATGATAGTGATAGAAAATGATGGATTATAACAGCTAACATCATCCTCCTGATGCTGCAGACTACTTGCCTGGCTTAAATTCCCTGAGGCAGCAATGCACAGTGATGATTACTATTAAATAGACTCTCCACATATACTTTTGCTATGAATTTCACATTTTGGTGTGGTTTTCCTAATGCTTTCAGCAGGCAGTACTACACAGGGCAGAATGTGCTTTGGAACACTCACCACACCAAGGGGGAGGGGAACGTGTGCTCATCAAATTAGATAAAACCCACTGATCTGATCAAACTGGAATAAAAGATTTTGTTCAAATTAGATCCAAAAGGGAAAATACTATAAACTGAAGATGCAAAAGTCATATCAGCATAATCGTCTCTGACTTTGTATCTTTAAATCAGGAATGGGTTTAGACAAAGGGATACAAAATATGTTTTGACAATCTTACAACTGCATGGCACAAACTCAGTATTGTTAGTGCAGACACTACTGGATTATTCAAATTCATTGCAGAGATACACTCTGATGATTCAACCCCATCCAACCTCATTTCTCATAAGAACCACTCACATTTCTTATTTTCATTGCATTCCTCTGTTTCATAAGACTACTCCTATTGCAAGGAGTGTTTTGGGGACTTTGAAAATGATCTGAACTGATAAATCTAACATCATAAACCAAATCCTATCCAGGCATTTCCACAGAAACAGAACAGCATGAAAACAGCCCCAAAATGCACTTGGGATGTGCCAGGAGTATTCCCAAAGGCCACTTTAGAGCAGCCCTACCTTATGGGGCTGGAAGAGACGTCGGGGTCGTGGGCTGTCACCTGGCCCAGCACAGAGTTGAGAGCAGCATTTTCGTGCACTTCCAGGAGGTAAGTGGGAGAGGAGAAGACTGGTGGCTCGTCAGCATCCTCCACCACGATCTTCACGGTGGCTGTGTCCTTGAAGGGGCCCCCGCTGAGGAAGCGAGGGTCGATGTGAATGTTGGCTGCCTCCACCTTCAGGGTGTAGGACTTTTTGGTCTCAAAGTCCAGTGGCTGTTGAGAAGGACAAAGATGAACGTCTTTTACTAATGGCCACAGAGAACAAGTGATCCTAATGCTGATGGATGGGAGTGATGTGCATTTGTAAGCACATGGAATGAGTTTTAATGTAGTCACTTCCCTCTCCCAGAAACCCAACCTCCAGATTTTCTAGGCACATACTCATATCTATTTACCAGCCTCAGAGAAAACAGAACTGATTCCTTGTTTTTCACAAGAAATTTGCTGGAATATTCTCTCTCTTGTATTATACCATTACAATTACATATCAGACAAATACTACAAATTTGTGGGGGATGACATGAGTTGCATACCAATCATGCACCTTATCAGTGCTTTACTAGCTGGAGATATGAAAAAAAATTAAACTGGTTCCACAAAGAATAAATATTTTATTACTTCCAGAACAATGTGAGAAATGCAAAGAACTAGAAATTATTATTTGTTGGACAGGAGAGGCAAAACGTAGAGCTAATCATATAAGAAAGTACTTCAATATTCTTGCACTACAAATAGCTCTGTATTTCAGTTTATAGGAGTAAATGAGGTAGACATCTCCCAGGAATTTCTTAAAACTGAAGCAATTTCTACTTCTGTATCTTTTCTCCTTTTTTTTTTCCCCACACACAGAATCACAAAACAAATTACTTTATTCAATCAATATACCTGCCATGTCACCACTGTTTTTACTGTTTTACAGTCCCATATTAACTCATAAAAGATGAAAACTCAGTGGATTTAAGGGACTGAAATACCAAATAAACCCCAAATCTGTGACACTTTTGAGTGTTAGACTTTTTCATTATGGGAGATTCAAGTTTGTGTCTTGAAGCACATCAGTATACTCACTATATAATTCTCTTGTGTCTCACAACGATTCAAATTTCAAAGATGCAAATTGCCAAGCATTGGAAAGATATTAAGATTTGCATTATAATGTCTCAGGGATAAAAAGAAGAGGACATAGACACCATGAATCTGCAATGCAAATACCAGCAAGAGCACAAACAGGAATCTTCAGGAAGTCTGTCAAAGCCTTCAATATGTATATTTTCAAATTCTGATGATTTTTTTTTCAGGTATGAATCAAGCTCTAATGGGATTTGCTCTTTCTCACAAATTCTAGTAAACACAAGAAAATCTTGCTTCTTTTGCAGCTCTTGAATTAGTAAGCTTTTGAAATTATGAATGAGGATTTATAAATCAGCACATTCACAATTTGCCAATCATGGCTCCTGTAGCACTTTTTCAATTGCTTTTCATATGCTTTACAGAAATGACAGCACCCCAATACACTTAGTCATGCCTAATCAGAATATCATATTGAAAATTTACTCAGCATTGTCTAAAGCCCATGATTTTATGCTGAAGAAAATCTGTTGGTGAGCAGTACCCTCCATACATCATCTAGTGGAGTAGAACCAAAATTATTATTGCTGTCAAAATGAAAATATGAAACAACATTATGGTTGAGATTCAGTTATGAAATAAAGCCAAGGGAACTGGGGCAAAAGGCTAATTGCCTCAGCTTACAGGAGAGGCCACAGCATACAATAAATAACAGCAAGGAAGAGCTGGGATATATATCATAATTTTCTCTTTAGAAAGACAAATGTAAATTTAGATAAATATACATCAGTTTATTATAAAGCTACAGTGCTGACCTACTCACTGAGAAGAGAAAATACAAAGTTTTGACAAACAATCTGCCTGACCTCTTTAGTGACAGGTACAAGTGGAATATTAATTACCTGTGCTCATTGCATTCACCTTTCTCTCACTGGAATATCATGATTTGGGTTTTGTTTACTTTTGTTTCCTATAAACAAAGGTTCATTTGGGATGATCTGTGCTATGCAGTTAAAACCCTCTGCCACTGCTATAAATTAGATTCATATCCTTCTTCAGAACACAGCATGAGGAAGAGCTTTATCTCCTTCCCTGGATAATAATGACAGCTAAATCTGCAATTAATGTTTCCCTGGCTCTACCAGAAGAGTTTTGTTCTGTGCTGTCTCTGCCCATATTTCTGTACATAACTGGGTGGTGCTTTTGTTGTGCACATGAAAATACCTCACCTTGCACACATCAAGACTGTACAAGCATAGAAAAGGGAATACAGTTTTTTTTAGGGCCCAAATTTGGCACTTCTCACGTGAAACTACTGATCTCCTTAATAAAATTCACTGAAATCCTTGTTCATCGAGTGAAGACAGTTCAACATGAGAAAAGGTAGAAGACTAAGCTCTCACATAGCAGGTAATTTAATTAATGCACTGTGATTTATTTTTCTCTGAACAGCTACACAGGAAATCAAATAATTGAGAGAAGTTATTTGATGAATACTCAGCCAAGATTTTACAGAAGTTTAAACCACTACCAAAGTGGAATCTAATCTATTCTTCTCCTTTGGAACTAAGGAAACAAAACCTGTGTGATGTGACCACATGGGATCCTGGATAAGATTAGCACAATTCCAGCACCCATGGATGTTTCCCCAGCTGTCACCTCAATGAAAATTCAGAGGAACATGGCCAATACACCCCTTTTCATCACTCCAGGGGCTTGACACCTCATCCATAGATGAAAGAACCCCTGGAAATCCAGCACCTTCTCACAGAGCAAACTCTGGCTGGGTGGTTGTATGTGCAATAAACATTTATGTTTTTAACAGAGATATCATTTACCTTTCTCACTCTAATAATGCCGTCCTGAGTTTGGGCATCTGTAGTAATCTCAAATATATCCATTCCATCTCCTTCAATAATATCATAGGATGATTTAGCATTTTCTCCAATATCCAGGTCATTTGCTTTCACCCTTCCTATCGGTTCACCAAGAGCAACATCTTCCATTACTGAGAAGTGATACAGACCTTACAAATAAGAGGAAAAGACTAAACATTACAGCTGGTCCCAATGTCCCCTGTGTGCTCTTCAACGTTCACATGTCCCCAACACCAACTCTTGAGATGTGCAACTGATCCAGCCCCCGTGAACACAAGTTATTGACTGAAAGCAGCAGAGCACACTCCTCACACAGGAATATTCACTTTCCTGTAGCTGAGTGTCCCTTCCACTCCAGCAGTCTCCTGCTTCTTCCTTGCAGGGATGTTTTGTGTTGGCAAACACAAATATTGAGCTCCTTTCAACACTGCAGAACTTACCTTTTATACAGATATTTTATTGACAAGGAGTTACAATTCAACCATAAAACTTTGGATTTTACGCCACAAAAAATTGGTCTAATACTTTAAAACACCTATTGTGTAAACACTTACATAACTTCAAACATTTACTACATAACTTCAAATATTTGCTATTTTTTAAAATGTAATTTGATTTTTGTTTGTTTAAACCCTTCCACTTCTCTTTCTGGTAAGAAACTAATCGGGAAACATTCAAGGAAACTCCTAAATTTATTTTTTTTTTTTTACTGGAAACAATAACTTTTCATCACAATCATTACTCTGTTTACTATTTGTTGTAGAGTTAGACTAAAATCCATTAGAAATTGCTATTCAAATTGTCAACATTTTATTTTTTGTTATACCTGCTTCAAACCTTTTAAGCTGAAAAGCATCAAAAGTCTATTTAGACATAATTTCAGGTAGAAATTTTGTTAAGGCAAAACTCAAAACACCAATTTTCTTTTGTATCTCCCTGTTCCTAACAGCACTCTAAAAACCAGAAAACACACATTTTATACCCAAAATTCTTTCTAGAGTCCCTATATTTCTACCTGTTTATAATTGACACTTATTGAAGTTAAGGTTAATACATGATGTAAGCAAATGAAATGCTGCTCAGGAGTTAAAATAGGCAAAAAGAATTCAAGGATAATAGAAGAGATCTTTAAAACTGTCTTGGAAAAACAGGGAGGACAGAGAACAACAAGGCCAGAATCCTGTGTCAAAAACCATCTGTTAAGTGCAGGTAATAATTTCCCAAAAACAATCTTCTGGAGTTGTTGCTTTACCTGTTGTAGCTGATTGCAGCAGCAACAGTTGAAAATAGGAAGGAAACTGTGAGGAATTCACAAATACATGCATTAGCTACACAATGAAGTCCCAAAGTGACTTGTTTGTGATGTTCCTAGGCTAAATTATTAGAGATAATGTGGAGATCATCAAGATTCCTCAGAATATCCATAATGGCTCAAAAAACAATGAGCAGCCAAAGCAATGAAGTGCCTTGGGAGGCTAAATTATGCCTTCATCATTTACACTGCTGTCCACACTTTGTGGTTTGAATTTCCAAGCACAGCTGATTGCATTGTTAAGTTGAAATTTTGCTCTCAGATTTATTAAAATGGTTTACAAAATATTAAGAAAAAATTTATAATTGTGATGCACACACATTCCTCTCCAGAATTATGAATTGTGTCATAGTGCTGAGCTGACCCAAATATCCACACTGAGCATCTTTGAAAGCCCTGGGTTTCCACAGCAGTGCACAGTTCTTCTCATTACAATTCTGTGGTAAACTGCCAGGTTAAAAACTTTGGTGACTTATAAAACGCCTCTAAAATTATTTCAGAGAGATCACAGAAGTAGTGAAAGTTCATCTTTTTCATTTCTAAAATGCAGGAGGCTAACACTCTGAAATCAAACCATAAATATACATTTCTGTCCTGCCTGGAAACAATAACCTGATAAAACACCCTGTTTCCTGAGCTCATTACCATTTATTGTGCAAGCAGCATGTATTACATCTTATGAATTTCGATTTCATTCTGGCTAGGCTTATTGTAAGTTTGATCCTTTCTTATTTTCCTTTCCAGGCAAATGCAAACTGTGCTTCAACGGTGTAAAAAAAAAAAAGTCAGACTTGCTCAGCTCTTGTCCAAGGGCAGAGCCATGGCAGATCTGTGGTGCTGGGCAGCCAGCTCAGATTGCAGCATTTTAAAAAGCAGCATTTGCAATAACACCCAGCTCTAATGCCACTATGGCTCATCATTACAGCCATAAATACACAATACCCAGTGAGGGTACATGCACCAGCGTTTTTCCCTATAGAATTCCCATAATGGTTATTCCTAGAGGGAAGCTTGAATCCTGCAGGGGCTGAAACAGCTTCAGAGGCAACACCTTCATCCTTGCTGCAGGAAAACTCATCCAGCAGCAAATGTATTCCAGGGATCATGATGCAGTCCTGCTGCTGCCCCCAGTCAGTGTGTCACTGGGGGAGGGCAGCTTCACCTCCACATGCCTCCACTTTGGACCAGTTGTGCTGCTGATTTTCGGGTCAGATTTTTGCCATATTGGCAGCCAAAGGCTTTCTGAGGCAGTGCTGGTACAACAGAAATGCCAGGTAAGTACAACAAATGCCAGGTAAGCTGGCAAAGGCAGGTCTGTGCTCCCTGAGTTGGAGCCACAGGACACTGCAGGTATAAAAGAGACATCCCTCTGCATGCTGGTGATAGAGTTCATCTGTACACGTTGCATTGTTAGGGAAATTGTTGGAAAACACTAACACAGAGGGAAAGGCAATGCAATGGGACACAAAGTAAAAAAATTATGCATTTCCTGCTTTATGAGAGAAAACCTTTTATTGAGAAGAGTGCTTATCTGTTAAAAACCATGAAGATGAGGTAATATAATATATATTTTGAAAATAAAGTTTGCCTCTGCTTATTTGGATTAGATTTCTCTCTCTCTCCATCTCTATGTTTTCTACATTTTCATTTTCTACAGGCTAGAGAAGCATTTTTTTATCATATGCTGAGCATTAGGATAAATCCATTTTACTCTGTGTCCTCAGAAGAGGGCAAAAGTGGAGTTCAAGTCATCCATACACGGAAAAAATTAACTTCATACTGGGTCTCTGAGCATCTTGTTAGAAAAACATACTCCTAAGAAAACAAAAATGATGCAAAGTTTAGATGCAGGCTCAAAAAACTTTTAACTTTAATTTTCCAGAACAAGCAGGATAAAATGCTACATTTCTAATAGTGTATTGGGTTGCACCTGTTCCAAATAAAATCAATCCTGTCATTATGCTCTTCTTCCTCTTTTTTTTTCCTTTTGTCTTCATCTTGGAAATACACTACAAAGCTTGCAGAGAATCTCAGCAGGATGCCAAATCATTTTAACCTAACTCAGCAAGATACCCATTGGAACCACAGTAGAGAATATGGATTTTGAATTAAAGATCAACAATAATCTAGATTCAGACTTATCTTCTTTGTTTTGTTCAGTATTGCCTAATTAGTCAAGGCTTCATTCCTTTTATCTGTTTGTATGTGTCTTTTACTGGTGGTGTCACTTGTCTGCATGAGATGGAAGCAACAAAGCACACAGAAACAACTGCACTGAGAGGAAATAAATCTGTTTTCAGAAGTCTCCAGGCCCTTTTGGGTGGATGTAAGAGGGGTAACAAAGAAGGCAGAGATCTGCATACACGGCTATGGACATAATTCCCTCTTTCTTAAGCTCTTAATCAGGCAGAGGACCTTTCTCTAGTAACAATTACATCTTTTAAATTACATTAAAAATCCAGGCAATATGAAGATATTTGATTGGTTTAAAAACAAAACAAAAAAAATCAACAACACAATAATAGCTTCTCATATTGGAGCACACACACACATATAATGGCACTTACTCTGTGCAAACTTAGGAGGATTGTCATTCACATCACTGAGTGTAATTGTCACTGTTGTAGTTCCAGAGAGTCCACCCATATGTCCTCCCATGTCCTTTGCCTGGATGACCACAAAATATTCTTCTTTGGCTTCTCTGTCCATGTTGGGAAGAGCTGTTTTAATTATAGCTACAATAATGTGGGGGGGAAAACAGTCAGGCACAGACACAGATTCAGTTTGCAGCTGTTTTTATGGATATATTCAAATATTGGTATACAAAAAAATGTCAAAGGTCCAGTTAGGTTGTCTCTTAATACAAAGGATGAAGAAAAATTTGAGGTTTTGAAAAAATTATATTAGAGGTCACCTACCTTGATTTAATTAGAAGTGCACTGAAAATGTGGTTCAAAATCCAAGAATTAATCATAACTGTGATACATATTTTACATTTTACTCTGACAAACCTCTTGCTTTCTGCCCTACCTCCCCCAGAAATCCATCTTTTCCGCACAGAATTCCCAAACAGAAAACAACCAAACAGAAAGCTGACTCCATGAACACTGTTAACCACATCTGCTCAGATTGTCTGAAATAATTTAAACCCAAACCCATTATTTGATCTATTCTTGTGTATATTGCAGGCTGCAGTTGTTGTCTTAAATCTTGAACTGACTGCCTAAATTTGAACAGGAGAAAGACAGATTTCACTTCACTGCCCAAGGGGGGGTCACCTGTGGAGCAATGACCTCAGGAACTGCCATCACCAACTTTATCAGCTTAGAAGCTTTTAAACCTACACAAGTTCAATGATCTGCTGTATACCAAAACAAAAATGTCAGTGGGCTGAAGGAAATATCAACAATGTTAATAATGTTCAGCAGATCCACTGTAAACTCTTATCGATTTCATGGACATGTAGTAAAAGAAATAATCAAATCATTTTTTCTTTCCAAAATTTTTCCACTTATAATGTGCTATTATATTAAAAATATGTATTGAAAGTGTAATACTATATTTAAATAGTGCTCATTGCATTTCAGTAAAGTCCACTGTAATCCTAAAACCGTAAAGAGCCCCCACTAAACCTAGTGAAACAAGTCAAAATGTTCAACTGAAATATGGCTTTTTTTTGTTGTTTTTGTTATCCATTTTTTAAAATTCCATTTAAAAACAATGTTTCCTTGCAGACATTGACAGTAACTCAACAAATCTTTGTTTTAGTTTTGCTTTCTTTGTTGGAATTGGAATAGATGTAGATATTCCATATAATCCATCTCTTAATCCTTTGTCTGGCACAGGTTCTACTAACCAAGTTTTTTAGAAACGACACTCTGGCTGAAATGCTGAGATTACCTGTTCATGTAGAATAAAGAAATATTCTTTTTTGCATTAATAGAGATGCCTTTTAGGAAATTCTAAAATCTACAAATTAGAAGGAAAATGCAGATATTTATTAAATATCCATTTATCTTTAACAATAAAATACTAAGGACCTGATCAGACCTTTTCATGGCTGAGGACCACACTAAGAGCAAGGGGGTGTAAAGTATTTGTAATAAACCACCAAATATAACATGAGATCAGGCTTGTAACCCACACTCCTGTAATTTTTTTCCCTAAAATATTTTTGGTTGTTGCCTCACACATTTAATAATTGTGCAGGAAAATGAAAGCTCTGCCTTATGTCTGCAGCAGCCAAGGCAGAGGAGTCTCTTGTTCCCCAGGAGCTCAGAGCCACAGCAGAGCTGGGGTTGGAAGGGAACTCTGGGGACCAGCAGGTCCAGCCCCTCTGCCAAGGAAGGGTCACCTGGAGCAGGTGCCACGGGAACACGCCCAGAGGGACAGGGAAGCTCTCAGCTAGTGAGTTTTTATTCCAGCACAGGGAATAAAAAGCCCACGATAAGTGGGGTTTGGAGCCTCAAGGCCAATGGCATAGCAGGTGAAAGTGCCTCAGGAGGGAACCCACATTATCCTGCCACACACTGAAGAAAATGCTTGTGTTAGGTTTTCTGAGTGAAGGCAGGGGAACAATAAACCCCATTTATCAGATTTGATAGGTGCAAAATACAGTCAGTGAAAGAGCAGGGTCATTTCCTCCATGGCAGCCTGCACAAGGAAAGTAAATGATGCTTAATTCTGAAAGCATCTGACAGTTGTAGCTGGTTTGGACTGACTGGGTTACTATTGATGAATAATAATGATGTATTCTGCAAATAAATCTATTGTTATAAGTGAAATGACTCATAAAGAGCATTCTAATGCAAACCTAGGCTATCAGAATTTGGTCCACAATCATTTTTTTCACTAATATAGCAGATCCAAATATCAATGAACCCTTATTTCAATAAGGCTTGTATTAAGTATACTATACTTTATCTCCTTTTTTTTTTAGGCAGAGTTCCTATGTTTGTTTGGGGTTTTTAACCTAATTTACATAGTTAACTCTAGCCTACAAATGAGTTGTATGAGATGCTGTATTTTGTATTCTGCAGTTTCCACTGAGAACAGTCAATTATTTCACTAAATTGATGGTTTTTCCTAGACAGGTATTTTAATTTGTCTCTTGATGTATTGAACAGCTTAGCCCTTGCCTATGGTTTAAAATATATCAGGCAGATTAAATACCTTTAGAAGTGCCAAAATAAAAGTTAAAATTTTGGTTTTTAAGACATAAAAATGTTGGGGTTGCTTTTTCTGTATAAAGGTACACGAGCTGTTGTTTCAGTAGTTTTATACATATCTGCTGTCACAGACCATAAGCCACTTGCCAGAAGCTGAGTCAAAGTCAAGTTTCAATTTCAAACACAATAAAAAGCTCAAAAGCAGTTTACTGTTTAAATTACTATAAAAGGAACTGAAGGTTTTTAAGAACCAAATCTATCCAAATTACACAGGCTGATTGTTACCACTACATTCACAATCTACAGAATTGAGGTCAGCAACAGGAAAGTGTTGATATCTCTCAGGAGGCAAATTTATGAACACCAAAAAGTTCCATCCTCATCTACCATGATCAAGACAAATACAATCTAAGAGAGTTCTGCATAGAGAACCTCAAGGATATTTATTTGTGCTTTTGCTTTATTCACCAGTCCTCAGGCTATGCTTGCAGAAGTACTGAGACCATCTGTTTATTTTTAGAACACAATCCGGACTCCCCAAATACCAACACACACCCAGCACACAGAACATTAACTCACTGAGCATTCAACCTGCTCTGCTTCTGTTCAACCCAGAAACAAATGGAGAATAAAATCATAATCACTTTCAGCATGCAGTGATGGATGAGAAGGAGATGTGCCAAACAGGAGTAGTTCAAAAGCGAGAGAATTACCATAAACTAATGTAAGGCAGGTAGATGCTTGTTGGAAGATTGTATTCAGAACAGTTATCAATGGCTCACTGTCAAGTGGAGAGATGGATGACGTGGTTCATGGAGATTGTTCTGCTTCTAGAAGCATTCAATATTTCCTGAAAGCCAGAAGGCAGGGAGAACTTATCAAGCCTTTCAGATGACATAAAGTTGGGAGCCATTGCAAGTACAGGAACAACAGGATTAGAGCTCAAAACAATTTTCACAATTTGGAGAGTCTAAAATAGCAGGATGCAACTCAATTTGGCAAGTAAAAAGCATTTTGTGTGAGGGAAACAATTAACTTCCCAATTACAATAGAGCAGATGACTCACAAGACAGAAGAGAATGTGGAGTCAAAATGAGCTGAATGTGAGACAACAGCAACTTGCTGATAAAAGTACTCAAACATTTCCTGGTATATTAGTTAGTATGTTATGTGGAAGAACTGTGGAATAATCTTTCCAGTGTACTCACACAGGTAAGGCTGCAGCTGGATCAATGTGTCCAGTTTTCAAAAATATGGATTTATATAGTCAGGGAAGTACAAGGAAAGCCTTTACAGGCAAATATGTAAAGATTACTGGGAAGTACTCTCCTTTTCCACTGGGGATAAGAGAAGAAATAATGGGCCTAAAATATAACCCCAAAATGGGTTTCAGCTGCAGCAAGAGAGATTTCAGACGAACATTAGGGGAGTGCTGACAGAAGGCTGCCTGTCGGATTTGCAGTGTTCTCATTCCCACAAGTTTTTATGAATTTATCAGTCAACCATCTGCCAAGAACGGGAAGAGAAAATCTGATCTTTTCTGGGGCCAATGGCCCTCACATTCTCACTCGAGGTTCCTTCCCTCCATAATGTCTAAGTCAAGGCTTAGTCTCCTTGTAGCCTGAAATAATTCCCAAAGCTTACTGCTGTGAAAACACTCACAGACATGTGGTACAAGCACTGAACATGCATCCCCCAGAATTTCCCTACAGATACTCTCCCTCAAGCTGGAAAGATCAGGAAACAGCTTGGAAGGTACAGAAATCAAGAAGCAAACGATTCCCTCCAAGGGTGAAACCTCCAAATAGTGGAGTACCCCTTTTTTAGTTTGTTTTTTTTTTTTTGGCTGAGTTGCTTTTCCTTCATCGCTGTCCCACTGCTCAAGAGCAAATAAAGCAGCTGCAGAAGGGGATTCACTTCTGCAGTGGTCCTGGCTGCACACTCTGAGCAATTTGCACAATCTGCCTCACAGATCAGTTAAAATGCACCCCTGGGGACTACATTCAAAAACCTATTTGGAAGAATATTCACTGTCTCACTCTGAAAAAGTCCAGGGGAAAGGAAGCAAAGTGGTAGAGGCTGCAGTTCATGAAAAGAAAGAAGCAAAAAAAGCAACAGAAATAAGGACTTGGTTTTCACTTTTGTCTCCATTTTTTTCAAGGATCTCTTGATGATAATGCTATAAAACTGTACATAATAATAATTGAGCACATGGAACAAAACCAAGCAAGTGCTATGCAAAATTGGAAGCTGGCCCTGAGAAGCCTTTCTCAAGCATCCCATTCATCTCACACCCTTTATTGAAGACTTCCTGCTATTTCAACTTGCATACTTTGGTACTTTGGAACTTTCTCTACTTCATTTTCCAAGAGCCAAGTAATTGCTTTGATCTTCCTTCCATGCTAGAATCTTGGTGGAGATTCTTATTAAATATAGCAGTCATTTAGGACTCAAAGTCCTGAAAATCAATCTTGCATTTCTTCCGAGCCATCAGTGGCATTCTTTGTATTCCTGTGAAGCACAGAAACCTCAGTGATGTTTCAGCAGTCCATAAAAAAGGTTTACTT